TTAAAGGTGCCCTGAGGAGGCTGCCCAGCAGGATGGCCTAAATCTCAGACCCTGTGGTGTCCAGTTGCGATGTGTGTTGGAAAATTCATTATAACTAATTATCAAGTTGTGTTAGCTGCCTATTTAGGAACATTGATGGGTTTAATACCACACATGTTGTAAGTGCAATGCTTGCAGCCAGTGATAGGAAGGAAAGTTTGGGAATTCTTCATATTTGGAACAAAGGATCACTTTTAAATAATGAAAGATTTTTGAAATGGTGATGATGAATATTTAAAAAAAATCTATGTGATCAATGATGCTTATCACAAGACTCGAGAATGGTTAAAAGGAAAAATTTTTATCCTCAGTTTACTGCAACAATAGTAATATAAAGCTAAAAAGTTTTTTTAAACAAATGAAAAATTTATAGTAGGAAAGAGCCTCTTCCTTAGTAGATATAAACTGATAAACACAGATCGATGTTCATTTTCTGCTCCTCTTCTCCATCATTAATATTAGGGAGCTCTTAAGAGTTGCTGATATGCTTTAGCTACTTGGTAAACTAGAAGCCTTATGGACTGAGCCACTTAACTCACACAGTAGTCAACAACCAGCCAGTGCCTCCAGCCCTTCACCTTGAGGACCCCAGTGCATTGGACACCATTATGCATCTCTTCCTGCTGTGGATGTCTGTATCAGGAAGCACCTGTCTGAGCATGTGTTGATACCCTGAGGCTGAAGTCAGGGCCACTGGGCACCAGGGAATTGGGGGCTTTGGAGCTATCCTCCTTAGTCCTAAATCAGCAGAGCCCCAGTGTGAATCAGTAGCTGCTGTGGAAGGGAAGGGTGGAGGAAGGGCATTTCATAGCATTATTTCTTCAACATCAGGAGAAGCATGCACTTTGTCTACCCAGATTGGAGAACGAGGTGCAGATTGTCAGGGATGATACTGTGAGTTTATATGCTTTGTTGTGGTGAGTGCAACAGAAAGGTCATGGAAAGTCCTCTTTAACTGCCACCTGATTCTTCCTGCCACACACTGTCATCCACACGGGGAGAAAAGGCATCCATTTAAACTTTGTCCTCAACACTCCAGACATTCTGTGAAGGTGATGATGAGGATGAGAATGAAGATGAGGATGATCATTTGTTTGGGATCCTGAATGCCAGGAGCTAAGCTATGTACTGTACTACTTGTAGATTGTTTGAATTCATGTGCAAAGTCTTCCCACAGATAAGTATCACACAATTTTATTTTACAGAACATAAATGAGCACAGGTGTGCATGTAACTTGTGCTAGGTATTCAGATTGAATAACTGAAGCCACATTTGAAACGCTGTGTGGATTTGAGGCATATGGCATCTGTGCAACCCACTGCTGACAGGTTGTCCCCTCCACAAAACAATCATGTGTTTCAGTTTCCTTTCACCCAGGATGGGACCAATTTTCTTGTGCACTTCCTTTGGGATTTCTGGTAGATTCCAGGACAAAGCAGTCAGGGGCATCAGTTGCATCGTTTCTGTAAGAAAGTCTGACATGATCCCTCTCTCCTTTCTGATTTCCCAGAGCCTCTACCATGTTATGCACAGAGAGATAAAAATTAAAACTATGTTGTTAAACATTGAATAGACCTTTGCTACATTCACAGGTCCTGGCCATGCTTGAGCAGGGTTTCAACACAGTGATGCTCTACTGGCTGTACCTTCAATCTACTAAAAAATGTCCCAAAGAGCAGGAGATGATATTGAGCACCTCTGGTTTGTGTGTGTGGCAGGAACACAGAAGCCCCATACTTCCTCTCAACAGCATCATTCCAATGCTGCAGTAGACCCACTGTTTTTATTTTAAGAACTGAATGTTTAATTAAAAAACTTAATTACCAAATGTCACTCAAGTATATTCTTATTATGTTACAATAGAAATTTTTATTATTTATAATTTATCCTAATAAAAAATGGAACTTAAAAAAAAAGAGAGAAGTGGTTCCATTCCAAGTTTTCTAAGAAATCTCCATACTGCTTTCCAGAGTTGTGGCACCAATTTGCAGTCCCATCAGCAATGTATGAGTGAGCCTTTTTTCCCCCACATCCTCTATTTGTAGATTGTTTGAATTCACGTGCAAAGTCTTTCCATGGCATAAGTATCACACAATTTTATTTTAGAGAACAGAAATGAGAAAGTTCATGTAACTTGGGCTAGGTATTCAGATTGAATAACTGAAGCCATATTTGAAATACTGTGTGGATTTGAGGCACATGGCTCTTGATAATTGCCATTCTGACCAGAGTGAGATGAAATCTTAGAGTACTTTTTATTTTCATTTCTCTAATTGTTAGAAATGTTGAACATTTTTTCGTATATTTGTTGATCAATTGTATATCTTCTTCTGTGAAGTGGCTGTTCAGTTCGTCAGTCCATTTATTGATAGGATTATTTGTTTTTTTGGTGTTTAGATTTTGGTGTGGAACCATCATTTCACCCAGCTATCCCACTCCTTGGTCTATACCCAAAGGACCTGAAGTCAGCATACTACAGAGACAGAGCCACATCAATGCTTAAATTAGCTCAATTCACTAAGGAACCAACCTAGATGCCCTTCAATAGATGAATGGATAAAGAAAATGTGGTATGTACACAATGAAATATTATTCAGCCTAACAGGGAGCTAGAGAATACCACATGAAGTGAAAAAAGCCAATCTCAAATAAGCAAATGCCAAATGCTTTCTCTGATATGCAGAAGCTAATCCATAGTGGGTGTTGGGTAGGGGGAAATGGAGGAACTTTGGACTGGGCATAAGGAAGTAACATGGGGAGGGGAGTATGAAGATGGGAAGGATAGAGGAATGAGATGACATTATTACCCTATGAACATGTATGATTGCATTGACTTGTATGATTCTGCATATGTACAGCCAGAGAATTGAGAAATTGTGCTCCATTTGTGTACAATGAATTAATGGAAATTCATTCTGCTTTCATGTATAACCAGTTATAACAAATAAAAAAAAAAGAAAAAAAAATAGAAGTGTTTAAAAAACATAAAATGAAAGAAGTAATTGATTATGCAAGGTTCTTCCTAAATACAGCTAGGGTCCAAATGTTAAGTGGACCTTCATTTTTTCTTCTTCATCTTTTTGCATTAATGTTGGGAAGTCCTTAGAGATGGGCATTGCATGGACCAATTAGTCTAATTGTGAGCTCTGTGCATTGAGATTCCAAGGTCCTATATTAATCCACAGTCAGTCTGTGCCTGCAGCCCTTTCACTGATAGTTCTTGTCCAGTGAGTTTTGTGGCTGTGTCCCCTGATGTGGTTCAGCATCAGGAAGCTCCCAGCTGACAGCATATTCCTGGGAATGCTGGGCACARAGTCTGAGCCTTTGTTGGGCACCAGGTATGGGTGGGTCTTGGCATGTGCAGTCCTTATCATTACCCAGCAGAGAAGCAGCATAATCTTATAAGTGCACTGGGAGCCTTGGAATTGTAAGTGTTGCTTCTGTATCAGAAGAACAAACATCAAAGTTGGAGTTCCCAGATGGGGGGAYTTCAGGAGGTCAAGTTTCATATACGGTATTTGTGAATTTTTTTAAAATACTTTTTGTGGGCTGTCATATATCTTATTTAAAATGTGCTCTTCACCCATGCTGTTTTTATTTCCAATAAAAATTGGTCCTTCAACTATGTTTCTTAAGCTCTAGCAAAGACCTCTGGTGGTCTTGATAAGGATGATGAGGGGAGGACAGAAGCCAGAACATCATGAACTGTCACTCAGGGTTTCCAGGCTCAGGGGCTGAGGAACAGATATTGTGTTATCTGTCTCACTTTTTGTGTGTCCCACTCTGATAATGCATGCCTCATTTATTATTCTTTTACAATAAAAAGAACTTTATAATTATGCAACTTGTTCTTGTTTGCTAGGAGACAGCAGCCTGGTTGTATTGGGCTCTCTGACCATGAACACAGGGCATCACGGGAGAATCCTGGCAGGCTGTTCCATCAGCAAGCCCACTAGCCATTCCTCATCCCTGTCCTGAAGAGAGCCTGGCCCATGGTGCTCTTCCTGTAGGATTCCTGGGGGATCACAGGACAGAGCAGTGGGGGCTCTTGCTGCATACACAATGGAGGAACAGCCACAGGTCACAGGAGAGATCTTAGTAAGAGAGGCTCATGATCATTCAGCATAAATCATGCTCCTGGCCTCCCTCCATAACCTCCTTGAGCTCACCACATGCTCTTCCATGAAAACTAATGTTAGGTCTTGATTTCATTCCCACTCAAAAAACTGGAAAGTGTTATAAAATGTACCTGAGATTTACTAGTGGTTAAGGTCTATGGACTAAGGCTGAAAACTGTTAAGTGGGAAAGTAAAAAAAAAAAGTCTTTCATTAATCCATTTTAGAGTCTGTCAGTCCCAATCTCTATGAACGGTAGTCCCTAGTTTCATTGAGGTCTAGATTCAGACTTGCCATCTGAGTTGATTTCCCACTTATGTAACTGCAATGAGTAAAGATAAATAGATACTTGGTGCTATTCTCTGTATAATATGAGATATGTGAATAAAATCTGGGCAAAAATATTCTAGACATTAGTGTTACTGTTAACATGACTAGGTTGATCCTCATGCCACTCATGCAACTAATGCATTCAATGGTCTGAAGTGATCGTTTCTGTTTCTGGATGGGACACATCATTTTTGCCCTTACTGATACATGTGCTGCCTTCCTGACTCCACCCAGGGCACCAGCTCTTCCGCTGCAGCCAGAGGGAAACAGTATTCCCTGCACAAGTTGAAATTTCTTCAGGAGTCTTCATGGACAGTACTTCACAGTACTACTTGGGCTGATGCTTCGTTTTCCTGATACATATTAGGATTGAGAAGCTGTAGATGATATTGTCTACTCTTATAGGGAGACAAATGTAGGTCATTAATAGCAAATTTCAGCATGAATTTTTTTTCCATTTGAAATAAGTCTTCTATCCCCAACCAGGACCTTATGGAACATTCTTTTTTTTTTTTTAAATATGGAACACATCATGTATTTGCATGTCATCCTTGTGCAGGGTCCATGCTAATCTTCTCTGTATCATTCTAATTTAATATATGTGTTGCCAAAGCAAGCATATTCTTATTTGAGTGATGAATCAATTGGCAGGAGCATTTTGAAATCATTGCCATATTAATAAACTCTCCAACTAAATGACAGGGTCTTTCCTTCAGGTAGCACTTTGCATCAGATAAAAACTGAAGAAGAGAAATGTACTTCACAGAGGAATTATCACCTCAGGTTAATGTAAACTGGTGTATTTTCATGGCAATAGGCATTTTTTTGCAGAATACTTAGATGAGTTATTTTTAGGTACTTTTAAAGCAATTTTGTAAAGGAAAATGTATGGTAGATAACACTGAAATGAAAATACCAATAGAAAATTACACCTCCCCATTTCATGACAGTAGATGTTTCTGGGAGACAGGTTTGCAGAGATAATAAGACTCAAATTTCTTATATAATGATTCAGATCTCTTGCCAATGTTAGTCCTGCCACAAGTATTATCAGATTAATGTATTTTAATATAGATAAGGGTATTATGAACAATAAGAGTAGATAATATTCATGGAGCATGTTCTATTTCATGATGTTGTTAGTCAATGGATATCAGATTTGGTATAAGAAAGGAGCATGGAGAATTTCACAAGTGGACATGCAGATACATTTTTGTTGGTCTGACATCACTGTGTATATATTTTCTAAGATATACACAGGGACACTTAATAGTGGGAGAGAATTAAAAGTTATGCAGCTTGAAAGACTTGTTAAAATAATTTCCTGATGAGAACCATACAAGGTTGGGAATTATTACCTCATTTTACATATGAGGAAGTTTTGAAGAAGTTGTTTTATTATTTACTGTTATATTCTGTTTTGTGCTGTATCCAGTTCAATCATGGTAAAAAATGAAAATAAACTCAAGTGTAATTCATGTAGCCTAAATAAGAGAATTGAAATCAAAGTGTCAGGAATGACCAGAAAATCCATGCAGAAATAAGAAGATTGGAAATAAAACTTGATTTAAGGGCTTTTCTTTTTCTTAGATCATAAAAAATAAACTTGATGGATTGAGATCAGAAAACCATGAAGCAGTTTTGGCAGGCTAGAGGAAGTACAGGATCAAGAAAAAGAAAGAGTTAAGTGACATTTTATAGAACAGATACTTTGTTGATATTGTATTATTTTACACAATAAATCTGTGTGAAATAAAACTACTCAAAGGAGATTTTACAGTCTAGGATTTAAAAATCATTGACAGGTACACTACACACCAGTGCTGTATTTGTGGTTAGTGCCATTATTGATTATTGTTATTGAATCAATCGTATTTATCAAAATCTGAAGTTTATCAAAGGCAAGGATTCTTGTGTCATGTTTATATTTTTTAAAGAGAAATATGCACAAAGGAGAAAAATGAGAAGATCAAAGAATGATGAGACCCTTTGCAGAAAATGGAACCTACTGCTTTCTGGTTATGATGCATCCCCCTTGATTTAGTTGTCAGGAAAAGCAATCATTACATAGTAACAAATATCTTGTCAAAGGAATTTGTTCCAGGGCTTAGAGGTATATCAACTGCTTCCTAATTTCTCTTACAGGAAAGTCATTACTTATTTCCTTTTTTTCTTAAATAGTAAGCTATATTTCATTGTGATCATGAACTTCTCTCCTCTCCTCCTGGATTTCTAACTTTGCTTATGAAAATGCTGCAAATGTGAGTATGGAAATAGGGGTGAATTATGGAGAAAGAATGAAAGAGTAGGCAGAAACGGGGAGTCTCACTACTGACAACTGTTGTTGAAGGTGTATGGACCTAAGTGTGAGCAGCTTCCTTGTACATACTTAAATTCAAATGCTTACAGAATAAGGGGTGCCTTTTTACATTTTTTTGTAACACCTACTTTGTTTTTTCAAAAGGTGTTCAAGCAGTATACTAGCACAAAACGTAACCCATGACTCTAAATTCCAACTCCTGAGCCTCTCAGAGGATCCAGACCTCAAGCAGGTCCTTCTTGGACTGTTCCTGTCCATGTACCTGGTCACCATCCTGGGAAACCTGCTCATCATCCTGGCCATCAGCTCTGATTCCCACCTCCACACCCCCATGTACTTCTTCCTCTTCAACCTGTCCTTGGCTGACATTGGCTTCGTCTCCACCACGGTACCAAACATGATTGTAAACATTCAAATTCACAATGAACTTATCTCCTATGTAGGATGCTTGACACAGATGTCTATTTTTATCATTTTTGTTTGTTTGGATTATATGCTTCTAACTGTAATGGCCTATGACAGGTTTGTGGCCATCTGTCACCCCCTGCATTATACAGTCATTATGAACCCTCGCCTCTGTGGCTTCTCAATTTTGGTGTCATTTTTTGCTGAGTCTTTTGGACTCTCAGCTGCACAATTTGATGATCTTACAAATTACCAACTTCAAGAATTTTGAAATTTCCAGTTTCTTCTGTGACCCTTCTGTACTTCTGAATCTTTCCTGCACTGACACCTACTCTAATAACATTGGCAAGTATTTTCTTGTTGCTGTATATGGCCTTCTTCCCATCTCAGGAATCCTTTTCTCTTACTATAAAATTATGTCCTCTCTTCTGAGAATCCCCACTTTAGGTGGGAAGTACAAAGCCTTCTCCACCTGTGGCTCTCACCTGGCAGGTGTTTGCTTATTTTTAGGAACAGGTACTGTAGTGTACCTTGGATCAGCTGCATCACATTCTCCCAGAAAGGATGCGGTGGCTTCAGTGATGTACACTGTGGTCACCCCCATGCTGAACCCCTTMATCTACAGCCTGAGGAACAGGGACATTAAAAGGGCCTTGAGGAGGCTGCATAGGTGAACAGTCTGATCTTTGTCCCTGTGACGTCTGGTTGCAATGTGTGTGGGAAAATGCAGTAAAGCTAAATACCTGGCCCTGTCAATATGCCCCTTATGTGTTAATTTCCCATAGAGTTCCATAGTAGAATGGTGCAGACTATATTGGGTGGCAAATTTGGGAAGTGTTCCTACTGGGAACAAGGATTCATATTGGTACTATGAAGGATCAGAGTTTTTAGTAACTTGTGCTAGATGTTTAGATCAACTAACTGAGGCTATTTTTGAAATGTACTGTGGGTTTGAGGCACATGGCATCTTGGCAGGACAGTGCTGGCAGGTTGTCCCCTCCACAATCAACCTGTGTTTTACATTCTTGTCAGTCCAGGAGAGGAGCCTGTTTTTCTGTGCACTTCCCTGTGGGAATTCTGTTGGATCCCAGGTCAGAGCAGCCAGTGGCATCAGTTGCACCAGCTATGGAAGAATGGCTGATATAAGACAAAGATCTAAGGTCAAGTGGGCACAGATAATGCAACACAGACATCCCTGTGTCCCCCTCTCTGGGACACCCTTGTAGCTGCCACATCCTCCTGCATGCTGATAATCAGCTCACTCAATTTAAAGAGGAGACCAAAAGCAGATCAGGATTTCATTACTCCTCATGGACTTGGAAAGTATTAAGACTGTATTCAATACGTGCCTGCAGCTATGACCTCTGGATTCTGCTGAAAAAGCTCTGATTTTTGGAAAACAGTGAAGAGACTAGTGCATCAGATCCAGAGACTTAAATCTTAATTTTAGCTTCTGTTGTCTCAGCTGGTTCTTTCTTCAATACCTGACAGGTTGTTAGTGTCTATGATACTCAGCAATGTCATCCAAGGTGGTTTATAGCTGATACAATGTCATTGAATCCACATTAAACTGAAAATGTGTATTACCTATGTGACTGATATTTGATGAAGGTGCAAAATATGGACAAAATGTTAGATATTTATTATTCATATGGAAATGCTAAACTTCCTACTATTCAAGTGAAATGTTTTTTGACATGAAATTATTATTTTGATATTTCTATAATGTTATATTTTCATACTCCCCTTATGTAAGTACATGCTGTATATCTGGGGTGGAATGACCAACTGTCTTTCTTTTCTGATACCCAAGAACCTACACCATTTTAGGCACAGAGGATATATGTGTGTATATATATATATATATATATATATATATATATATTCTATTATATATTTATTATATATTATAATTATATTATATATTATAAATATATATATATACATATACATATATATATATATTAGAAAATGTGTTAAATATTGAATACTTCATTACTCTACAAACAGGTTTGCTTTGATCAGTGGTCTTTCAACACACAGCTGCTCTCCTGTCTGTACCTTCATTCTACTCAGGAATGTCCCCCAGACTCAGAGGCAAGATTGAGCAGCTCCTGTTTGTGTTTCCCTTACACAGGGCCCATACCTCCCTTTGTGAACATCTACAACTTTCAATAATGGCAGAGATGTCCATGAGCCTATGAAAACCAAAGTAAGAACAAAGGGATGTGACAGGTGACTCTTAGAATATGGTCTGAGATACTTTTGAGAGTTCTAATACTACAATATCCTTTGACAGTTTTAATGGTCATGAGACCCACTATATAACTGAAGACTGAATGTTTAATAAAAAAACAACAACATAAAAACCATAATGACCAAGTAAATGCCACTTAAGGGTAGACTTATTCAGGTTTCCACAGCAAATTTTGTTTATTTATATTTTATCCTAATAAAATGATGTTAAATATGCATTTTTAAAAATGTAGAAGTGAAAGAAGTAAATTGGACATACAGCTTAGCTCCTCATTAGTGTTAGGGTCCAAAACTCATGTGGACATACATTTTCTTTGTATTCCCCATTAGTGATGGGAACTCCTTGGAGATGGGGATTTCATGGACCAATTAGTTTAAGTATGAGCTCTGTTAATTGATCTTCCAAGGTCATATCACAGTTCCTAATCAGCCTGTGCCTGCTGCCCTTCCATTGATGGTTCTTGTCCAGTGAGCTGCATGGCTGTACCTCCTCCTGGGTGTCTGCATCAGGAAGCTCCTGAGCACATGATCTGTTCCTCTGGACACAGTTGATCCTTCCCTGGGGCTCCACACTTGGTAGGGTCTCAGGATCAGCACTTCTTGGTCATGACCCTACAGGGTTGTAGTGTGATCAAGT